AAACTGGATGCACTCTCCTAAGATTTTTCAAAATACTTTCTGTTAAATCAGCCACAGATAGGCCAATGGCCCAAGAAGTATAACCTTTCATTTTAATAATCTCATAGGCACTAGCAACCACATCTTTGTGAACATTTTTCCACTGCTCAGGATCTTTATCAGTTCCTATATCTACGTTCAGAGTTTTCAGAGGAACACCAGCAATGTTCACACCACTCCACACAGGAACACTTGAATCTCCATGCTCTCCAAGGATCCACCCATGACAGCTTTCAGAGTGGATACCAAGCCTTTGCCCGATCAAGAAACGGAAACGGGCAGTGTCCAGATTACAACCACTTCCAATAACACGGTTTTGAGGGAATTCACTCAACTTCCAGGCTACATAAGTTAAGATATCCACTGGATTGGAAACAACAATCAGTTTGCAGCGAGGGCTGTATTGGACAATACTGGAAATCATTAATTTAAAGATGGCCAAATTTCGCTGGACTAAATTAAGGCGTGTTTCCCCTTTTTCCTGGCGTGCACCTGCTGTGATAATCACGAGGCTGGAGTTTGCAGTGACAAGGTAATCTTTGCTGCAAACAATATTTGGCATTTTGATGAACGAACTGCCATGTTGAAGATCCATTGTCTCACCCTTCAGTCGGCCTTCATCAACATCCACCAAGGCAAGTTCATCACTCAAGCCTTTTAACAGGATGCTGATAGCACAGGCCATGCCAACCGATCCAGTTCCTACAATGGAGATCTTACTGCAACGAACGGCCTCGTCCGAAGTGAGATTCTTCAGAAGCTCACACTTGACGGTCGCCATCTCAGACGCAGGGGCGACGGGCCACGCACCCCTGAGGGGGACGCCAGCTGTCTGGCGGGGGCCTAACGCCATTCCCAGGCCCAGGAAATTCGCTTTCGCAGCGCCCACTCTCTGGCCAGCCCGCAGGACTCTCACAGCCCAGCTCATGGCCCCTCGCTCAAAAGATGACGGAAGAGAAAGGGAGAAAGCAGCCGGCAGCCTTCAAAGCTCGAAGGGAAGCACCTGTGACCGTTGGCCGCTCCCTCAGCAAGTTACTGAGGCGGTACCAAGCCGGCGCCTTCGAACGCGGCTTCCGCCTGTTACTGCGGCTGCGCAAACTGGACCCTTTGACCACCCCTTTGGCGGCTACTGCGGCTGCGCAAGGCCGGCCCAACACACGTGACCTGGATTGGACCCTCGGAGAGCGCTCGCCGTGTCAGTTCTGACGAGGGTGGAGAAAGGGCTTCTCTAGCAAATGGATTCGGGAGTAGAAGTTTTATAAACACAAATTCTGTCCAATACTTAGCGTGTACAATGGGCCAACCCACACCCTTGGGATTAGTGATTTTCTGTTCTTTCTACCTATGCAAAACAAAAATACTTCCATTAAGTACAGATGAAAATAAGGTTAAATTTTCTGAAATGGATCCCTGCCGGGAATAAGATGTGTGTGCTTTGTCTCCCGATGGTCTCCTGCACCATTTCCCTGCATCTGTTGGAGAAGTAGGGCTCCTGTCTATCCAGTTGGAGAAGCTTCTATTTGGAAAGGCTTCCTGTTGCCTTTGTGCCAGTCAAGATCGGAACTGTGGGAAACAAGCAGGTTCTTAACAACGGGAAGGAGCCGACTGTGAGCTAGTTCAACGGTAAAAGCTCACAGGGAGAGGCTGTTACTCTCTCTCATGCCAAAGGAAAGCTTGTGATTGAGTCTTGATTAAAACTGACTTCTCAAGTAGAAACATGATGATGTAGAGTTATAGTAAAATGAAGATATGAAGAACCTTAAAACGGCAAGTTTTGACCAATGCACAAATCAGATTATTGATTAAAGTAGTAAAATAAAATATTAGCTAGCACAACATGGCATCAGTATATCTTACCTTCCTCTGCATTTCTCTGGTCAGTCTTTTGAACTTCCTTTCAAGTTTCTAAGGAAATAAAAACTTTCCATCTGATGAAATATATACCCTTAAACCCAATACTACAAAAGTTCCAATAAAATAATGGTACTTTCTCCCCTCTTATATATACAGAATTCTGACCATGTAACGATTCCTCAAAGCTTTCCTCTCATTCTAAGAAAGCAATATGCTTTCCCCTAATGGAGCTCTTGGTGTACAGAGCCTCCTCACAGTCAGGAGAAAAAAACTGTGTGTATGCACATGTATGTGTGCGTGAATTCCGTTTTAGAATATCAAATCTTGACAAAATTAACATTTTATACTCAGGACTTGAAAAGCTATTCTCACTCTTCTTGCCACTGAACTGCAGTCCAGGAAGAGAGGAATAGTAAGCAAAGGAGTTGGTGAGGGGGTGAGAAAAGTGTGGCAATTAGTGGAGTTCCTGCAATCCTGTTTCAGTATGACTTGCTGGTACCCTGTTTAGATGGTACAGTACAAGCTCCGTGACACATAAAATGTTAAGAGCACCACATACATAAGTTCTCATCACACTGGTGGTCAAATTTATGGTAACCATTTGTCAAATTAAAAGCTAGAATTTTCAAATGATCATCTTTAATGGTGGCTGACATCTTGGAGGAATCCTCGTAAAAGACCAACTTTTGACAGCTATTATTTCTTTTATCCCAGTTATAGCTTGAAATGTTTTAACCCAGCCTGTTCCCACCTTCTTCCTGCAATGATTCCTTTGACCAGTCAAGCCACTTTCTGAGATAAGTGTTCTTGAGGATGAAATTCAAGGACATAAAGACTTAGCTAGATGGCTTCTTTTATAGTAATTTACTCTCTAGACTTTGAACCTCTTTAGAAATACAATCACTATGACAGCCGCCTCTTCAGTTTTCCCCTTAGCCACAACTAAATCAATTTTGAGAAAAATAACACTCTCTAAAATAAAAAAAATACCTCAAATGAAGCAGCTTTTTATTTACAGTAAGTCTTGAAATAAGAAGGAAAGAACTGAAAAAGATGAGGGGATGTATATGACCTACAGAGCAGACTTAGGTCTACTCAAAGATGTGGAAAGCCAAATACAGCTAGACAGCTCCCTAATGACCTTCTATCTTAGGTGGCTCATTATTCTTTTTGAATGGAAAATCTAACTCAAATTATCTATTCAAAATTCAGTATAATATTATAGCCAGTGGAAGGATTATGCCATAATACCTTCGCTTACACCACTCAGGAGGGTGGAAGCAGGTAATGAAGATGACCAGCAAGTCTCTGGACCAAGAATGGTAAACTAAGTCATTCTACTCTTTCTACCTGGACTCACCCCCAGTTCCTCCTGCCCTTTTTTCTACCTAGGAGTTCAGTTCAAATATTCTATACTCTTCTGAGTCTTCTATGATCTACCAAGGATAACAAACTTTTAAAAATTCTGCCACCAGTGTACTCTGAACCTGTCTCCATTATAGGATCTATCACATACAATTAAATGTAATTACTTATGAATTTGTCACTCCATCATCTTTTACTTACCAGCATATCCCTATCTTCTAGAATAGAACTTGGTACCTGAACAGGAATTCAGGAAATGTTCGTGGTAGAAAAGAATGAGTAAATAACTATAGAACTGAATTAATTAAGGCCAGAGGGCTAAAAGCTGAAAGAGAGATGGAAAGACAGGGCTGGAGAATCCACCTGGTACTAGAGTTCTGAATAAAGGGGTAAGTAAAATGTATAGGTGCCTATTTGGGATTTCTTAGCAAGGTTGATGCATACATTTCAGATAAAGTTGTGAATAAGCTGACAGATTTCTTAATTAGTTTCAAAGCTAATAACATCTTTACCAAGTTAGAAAATACAAATTAAAAAAAAATTCTACAGTGCTAAAAACACAGTAAAATAAATATGCAACAGCAGAAAGAATATTGTTATCCTTCGAAGTTAAAATGTTTTGTTCTATGGAAAGCTTTTAAAAAATAATCTGTGCACAAAACTCTTGATTTGGAATAAAAAAGAAAATGCAATGAAAGCAGTGTTAATATTATAAGCTATAAACTTACCAGCATGCAAGTAGAGCATTACATAAACACAATTATTTTAAAAGTCTTATGATTTGAAAATCATAAAATGCAAATTGTAGGGTTTTTTTTTTAATTGGTGGGCTGTGATTCTATTGCCCACAGATAGTAAAATACAACTTTGTAATCCTCGTGTGGGGATCTTTTCATATTGCAGTACCTGAGAGTATTTTCCTTTGTCAGTAATACTGGGAATGCTGGGGGAAGGAGAAAAGGAGGGGACAAAGCTTTGTCTTCTGAATAAAATAAAGGCAGAATGTCAACTTCAACAGCAACCCTGGGATCAATATCCTATTTATGGTATTCAAATATTACAACATGAATTGGCAAGCTCTTCTGATAAATTACCCAAATTTCACTTTTGTTCTTTAAAGGTATCATCTTACATACACTTTTTGATGCAACTGTAAAAAAGCTGCCTGTATTAATTATTAAAAAGGAAAAAAAAGAATTATTTTAATGTGGCACAAAACATGAAAAACAAAGAAATTTAAATCTTTAGTATCTGTTTAAACATCCTACATCGTATCTAACTATTGAGAAAGTTTAATTTTATGGCCATAAGCTCTAACTGCATAGGTGCTGTTTTACTAATTCAGCCCATTTATTCTCTGTGATTGGATTAACAAAAATAACACTACAGACCTCAGTAACAACAGCGTTGCTCATCTTAAAAAAAAAAAGACATGGAGAATATCTTTGTGTATGGAAGTTACTTTCAACTTAAGGTAGAAACTTGAGTTACCTTTATAAACTCCAAACTGTCAAAACTCCATGTTGTAAAGGTTGAAAATCAATTTGCCTCCAGATTCCATCTATGCAAAGAACAGGGACAGCAGCAGCTGGGAAGAGTCGGGAGAAGAAGGGGGATTCAAGCTGGGGGATTAGCAAAGTTTCCTGGGCAAAGCTAGAAAGGCCCAGATCTAGAAAGAACAGGGCCTTTCAGCATGGCTAGAACTCTGACCATGACAGAGGCTGATGAGGACAGCCAGATGCTCAGCTGCAGCTCTGCCAGCTCCTGGACCCGTTTGTGCTCTGTGGGCCTGTCCTGTGCGCTGTAGGATGATTAGCAGCATCTCTGGCCTCTATCCGTTAGATGCAGGTGGCCCCCCTGCCATCATGACAGCCGACAGTGCCTCCAGACACTGCCAGGTCTCTTTTGGGGGTGGGGTAAGGTGGGAAGGACACAGCAAAATCGCCACACACACCCTCAACCCTGGGTTGAGAGCCAGTAAATTAGAGTCAGCAGGGGCCAGATCACAGAGGGACTTATAAATCATTACAAGAAACCTGGAATGTTCTCAAGGGAAGAGGGAGCCCATCCAACAGATGTTCACCAAATGCCTCCTCTGTGCTAGGCACAGTACAGGCGCTGAGGCCAGAACAGTGAAAAGATAAATGAGGTCTCTACTCAGAATTTATGTCCTTTTAGTGAAGGCAGATAGAATTAAAAAATGGTCAATGTAGCTTCATTTTGCAACAAGTGCTGTGAAGAAACTAGGATAATGTCAGAGAGGACCTGAGTGGTGGGAGTAAAGAGGCTACTGTATTTTAGACTAAATGGTCTGGGGAAGCTTCTCTGAGGAGGTGAAATAAATCTGAGTTGAAACCTTGGAAGGTAACACAGAGCCAGCCATGCAAAGACCCAGGCAAGGAGTTTCCTGGGCAAAGCTGGAAAGGCCCTGGTACTGAAGGAACAAGGAGGCCAAGGCCCTGGCAGGGCCAGGTGGGCGGGGTTGGAGGGGTGACTGGGTTGGTTCAAGATGAGGTCAGCAAGGTAGGTGGGGCTACATCCTGTGAGACTTCTTCAACCGGAGACAGGAGATGCTGAAGGGGTTTTAAATAAAGGAGAGACGTGATTTGACTTACATTTAAAAATATTTCCGGCTGCTGTGTGGAAAAGTTCTCGGGGAAGTAAAGGAGAGGCCAAGATCCTGAACAGGAAACTATTTCAATATACCAGGCAAAAGATGAATGGAGCTGGAGAGAGATGAAGAGCCACACTGTGTTAGCCACAGAGCTGACGAGCAGGACTTGCTCATGGATAAGGTGAAGGCAATGATGGGAAATGAGATCATCTAAGAGGCTTCTCTGCTGGCTTGAACGACTTAGGGGATGGGAGGGCACTCACTGAAATGGGAAAGACTCGGGGGGGCAAGGTGGGGAGGAGGTGAGGAAAACTGGAGTTCTCCTTAGGATGTGGGTCCTTGACATGCCTGTGAGACATACAAGAGGTAGACCCCATGCAGTTTCAAGGAAAATCTGAAGGTCAGGCGGGAGCTATATATATGGACATTATCAGGTTGTACTGATTCTTTTTAAATGCCAGGGACTAAGTGAGAGCACCAAAGGACTAAGGACACATGGAAAACAGAAGAGTCCAAGTGTGAAGCCACTGGAAACGCCAACATTTAGGTCTGCAGGGGCACAGCCAGCAAAAG